CTATTTTAACTTAAAAAAAGTGAAATACAACATATTATGTGTAGGTAAGGTGGCGTGAATGTAAAAATTGAAGTTTAGGTGTTATATATGTAAAATATATAAGAATTGAGTGGTATGTATGCAAATATTTCAAAAATAAAACAATAACATTACAGCAGAAGATGAAGCATAAGATAAACTCTGGTCTTTGCGGCTAGTGCCTACTCCATCTTCGACATGCCCCCAACACCACTGCAAAAACATGGAGATCAGGAAGACAAAGACCTAAAGCCCTAAATCACTCATGTAGTCCCAAGTCTCAACTTAATATTGCCCCAAAACACTGACATTTGAATCTTAAACACTAAAATCAAAACCCTAAACACAAAATCTTAAACTCATAACCATGAACCCTTAAATTTGAATCCTAAAACCTAAATTGTAAACTGCAAACCCTAAATGTTAAATCTTAAACTTTAAAAACCTTAAAAAGTGACGGATAAATCCTAAATCTTAAATCTTAATCCTTAAACACTAACCAAAAACAACAAACCCTAAGGGCCTCTCTGGAATGGATTTTGATCTAGATTTAACCTAAATCTTGTCAGAAGGTCATTTTGGACAAAATAAAACCGCAATTTGAAAAATTAAAATTGCACGGATTTTGGCCTAAAATCCCGGATTTACTAAATCGAGTGAATCGGCAAACTTGGTAAATTCGGGAAGAGCAAAGAGAAAGAATGCTATGAACAAACTTACCTTTCTCAATGGTTTTAGGACAGAGCGAAGCAAAAAAAAAAAAAGAGGAAGATGGAGTTTCGGTGGTCTCCGTGCGTTGTGATCCCGTCATTGCCCTCCCAGCTAGCTGTACTTGCAACTTTATCGAAAGGGTTTAGTCACAGAGGCGATTGTTTTGGATGAAACAAGAAGTGAGGAAGGGGCATAGGTGAGGGTTTCAAAAACATGGGAAGGCCTGGGGAGTGTAGTGATGTAGGCAAGGATTTCTAGCAGGGTTTAATTTATTTTTACTTATGTTAGTCTTATTATTTTAATGGATTAATAATTAACGATTTATTTTTTATTATCGACTTAATGATAACTAACTAACTATATAATTGTTATTTAATTGTCAATTAATAAAAAATGCATAATAATTTTTTTATTTATTCAATAAAATAATTAATAATTGTTAAGTAATATAATTAATAACTACTTAATTATTAATTCATAAATGTTAAACTAATTTAGTAAATTTTTTATTGATAATTAATTAGTTCTGTGAATATAAAAAGTATTAATTATCAAAATTTTAAATAACATTTTAATTTAATTTAATTTAATAAATAATCAATTTTTATCATAATAATAAAATAATTATTATATATTTTTTATTCTAACAAACAATAAAAACCACCTAAATTCTAACAAAAGTTGCCAAACCATTTGACAGAATTTAACTGGATTTATTAAATCTAGTGTCAAATAGTTTCTACGATTTAACCGTTCTGGATTTGCTAAATCTGGAATTATAGAATTTTAAAAATCCACTTAAGCCAAAGCTCATTCGTTGTCATACAACCCCAAAATCATGAACCCTAAACCCTTAGGAGATGCATGGAAACTGATGAAATTTAAGTTAGGAGTTAGTAAATCCTGTAAATTTGGATTTAGTAAATCATTGAAGAGTTAAATCTTGAAAACTGTTTGATAATAGATTTATGGCCCGTTTGGGGCAGCTTATAAGTGTGGCGGCATTTTGAAAACGCTGCCTCACCGTTTGTTTCGCGCGTTGAAGATGCGTTTATGGAAACGTCATTTCATATTTTACATTACACGTCGCGATCTGCGTTTCCTTCATCGTGTTTAGTCCCGAATTAGTCTGCTGCCCCTTCCTGGATTCGACATTGCTTCTTCCTTTTTCGTTGTTCGTGATTCGGAACTAAAGGAAGCTCGCAGTGCGGCAGAGCTACTCCCTGCATATTCAGCACTCCTTCTGCTTCTTCCTTCTTCGGCACTCCGTTCGCGATTCGCAGATTCGACATTGCTTCTTCCTTCTTCCTTCTTCGGCACTTCTTCTCTTCCAGGTTAGTAGGTGCTCTTAACCTTACTATATTCTATTTTTAATTCTGTATTTTTATGGTTAAGTTATGGTTTGCTGATCTATAAGATGTCCTTGAAATGGAGCAATATCCACTCTCCCAGGAGATGATCTATGGATTCTTAGGGCTCTTCATTTCAGCCGCTCCTCAACTCTCGTCTGCTCCTTTCTGTTTTTTTTTTTTTTTTTTTTTTTTATTTGCTCAGCCTTGACTTCTATAGGATTGAAAGGCAAAATGTTACCTCTAATTGATGCTATCTATTTTGGTTTTGTAGGAGAATATAATTTGTTTTTAGAACTTAAACATGATGTATGACTTTAGACTTTTAACTTCATATTGAATGAAAACTTAATGCCGATGTTAGAAAAAGCTTAATCGAAATGAGGGGCAGAAGCACTAATGAATGGATATTGCAGTGGAGCTATGCGAGAGCTAGGAAATTTCATATAAAAATTAAAGTTTTGGTGTTAGACTTGTAAATATATAGAAATTAGGTGGTATGTATGTAACTGCCACTTTTTTTATTTATTTGTTATCAGTATAGTGATTTGTTATCAGTAACTAAACAGCTAAACAGTTTATCCAGAACAAGGACACAATGATCATTTATCCATAATCAGGTGTTTTCCAAATGCATAAATCAAACAATCAGCAGTTTATCTGGATCAGTTAGTTATCAGCAAATTATCAAGATAAGTTGTTTATCAGCATAAGCCGGATAAGCTGCAGCTGACTCAAACAGACCCTTAGTAAATCCAATTAAATTCTATCAAACTCTTTGATCACTTCTGTTAAAATTAAAAAAGATTGTTAAGTTTGTTAGAATAAAAAATTATAATTAAATTTTAATTATTTTATTACTATGATTAAAATTAATTATTACATTTAATTTAATTAAATTAATTTTTTTTCTAATTATGCTTTTTAATATTAAATTATTTACCAAAATAAAAAATTATTAAACCAATTATTAAATTATTACATGTAAATTTATCTAATTTTAAATTAATTTTATAATATATTAATTAATTACAAATTATTAATCAATTAAATTAACAAAATTAACTTAAATAAAATAAATTAAAACCATAACTATCTTCTCTTCCCCTCTATGCCCAAAGCCCTCGCCTAAATCACTTCCCTTCTGATTTCGCCCAAATACTCTTCACCTCTCCACCCGAAACTCCCACTGGTGTCCCTCCCCTCCTAGTTTTGCCTTAAGTCATCGACTTCATGACGGAACCCTCGCGATAAAATGTCACGATTAGAGCTAATTGAAAAGGCAATGATGGGATCACGGCGTACAGAGACCCAAAACTCCCATCTTTCTCCTCATTCCGCTCCGTTCCTACCCAAAACCATAAAGAAAGGTAATTTCACATCTTCCTTTTAGCGAGAAGCGTCCATCCCGATGTTAAATCAACAACTCGAAGTTAAATCCACCAATTCCTAGAATTTAATAAATCTCGGATTTATGAATGAAATCCGCAAAATCCAAAGTTAAAATTTAATAAATCTCGGATTTATGAATGAAATACGCAAAATCCAAATTTGCCATAGTTGCACCTTTATATTGTCTAAAAAGACCATCTATCAAGTTTAGCTTAAATCTAAGTTAAATCTCGGCCTAAATCCGTTGCTAGAAAGCCCATAAACCCTAAACCCTAAACCCTAAACCCTAAAACCCTAAAACTAGAATACTAAGCCTTAAACCCAAAACACTAAATCATAAATCCTACACCAATAAACCCTCAACCCTACAAACCATGAATCCTAAACACTAAAATCTAAAGCCACGCAACAGGAACCAGCTATACCCTCACTTTAGTCATAAGTCTAAACTTAATATTACCCTAACACAACTAAACATGAAGAACTAGTATAGAGTCAAAAGGTGTCATTAAAGAGAGGAAATGGCATAACCAACCTCTCAGAGCCCTAGAAAAATTCTAAGCAGCAAACTCAAAATTTCATAGGTGAGGAATCACCTGCGAAAAGCTATTTCACATAGGAGGTCCACCATCACTACTAAGCTAGAAATTCCAGTTATTACAGAAATGAAGATATTCCTATAACAAACAAAATCCCATCAAAATAATGTGGGGCGTTTACATACAAACCACACAATTCTTATGTATTTACATATCTAACACTTTAACTTTAAGGTTCAGATTTATACCACTCATATCTATCCTATAATATAAAAAATACCACCATTTTAATTTAAAAAAGGTGAAATACACCTTTTCATGCATGGGTAATGTGGCATGCCAGTAAAAATTGAAGTTTAGGTGTTAGATATGTAAATATATAAGAATTGAGTGGCTGTACATAAATCTTTCTAATAATGTCAATTCTTCTGAGAAGGGGTTTTGTTTTGCAAGCTATGGTCAGTGTTAGCAGAGTAAAAGATGCATTAATAAAGAAACATATGGATTCAATGTGAAAGGAAAAGAAAGGAAAAGGGTTTATACGAAAGATAACTGAGGATGTTTAAAATATCTACATAAATTAGAAAGTACAAATAGTTGATTCGGGATAAAGCTAGTGACGGTGACCAAGCAAACATCTAACACTTGAAAAGATAAAATGAACAAAAAGAATTCAAAATATTTTGTACAAGATCCTCCAATTTAAAATTTTCTTTCAAAAAAATTTGTATGTGTTTTGTTCAAATTAAAGATGAATGTTTGAGATAAAAAAATCCTAAATTTAGCAACTCTGCTGCATAAATATTGATAAAAAGATCGTGAAATCAGCATCAGCTCATTTAACATATTTGAAAAATTGATCAGCTAAAAGCATATAAAACCAAAGAATGTGGGAACAAACCCACATCTAGTGTACCGAAGATATAATCTTCAGAAAGGCATTATTATCAACTAATTATAAAAATGTAGAAAAAACAGAAAAGAAAAATACCCATTGCGGTACTATCTGCACAACTTCTTCTGATGACTTTTGTTTGAACAGTGAACATAATGCAGTTAAAGCTTTAACCTGCACCAAAAAAAAAAGAAAATAACTTGAATTATGGACGTTTACATTGGAGTCTGAAGGCCTTCGTTTGAGTAGATCTAAAACTCAATAAACATAATGTAATTTTAGTAGTTGTAGCACTAGTGGCAGAATTACAATTATGGGTGATCAAATCATTAAAATGTGTGAACGTTTTAGATATCTCGGGTTTATTGTTCAAAGTGATGGTGATATAGATGAGGATGTTATTAGTAGAATTCAAGTTGGTTGGTTGAAGTAGAGGAATGCATCGTGTCGATTGTTTGATAGAAAAGTACTAGTTAGAATTAAAGGAAAATTTTATTAAATTGTGGTAAGACCTGCAATGCTCTAAGGCGCAGAATGTTTGCCTTTAAAAGAGAAGCATATAAAAAAGTTGAGTGTTGTTGAGATGAGAATGCTAAGGTGGATCAGTGGCTAGTCCCTTAAGAGACAAAATACGAAATGAATATATTTGTGATAGAGTTGGGGTAGCTCTAGTGGCAGACAAGATTAGAGAAAGTTGTCTTAGATGGATTTGTCACATCAAACGTCGACCATCTAATGATTTGGTTAAGAGAGTAGATGTTTTAGATTCAACTTATGTTAAGAAAAGCAGAGATAGACCTAAAAAGACTTGGGCGTAACTAAAACAATATCACAAAATCACGTGTCCTTCCAAGAAGCTAAATTACATTATTACATTTAGCACTTTCATAATAACTAGCAAGCATACCTTGAATGAGGGCAAGTCTGAAGAACCCAGAGTGAAGATGTCTGTTGTCCCTCAAATCAAACAGAATCAGCAACACTAATTGTGTCATTAGTTCTAACATATTTGAATGGTGCAAGTTTTAAGTGCTTTAGTTCCTATGATATATGATAATTTGAGAGGTTACATTTTATTAAATTTGATCAACATTTATACATTTCTATTTGATATGGATTTCTTGTGTCGAGTTTGGGTCGAGTTGGCATGTCGGGTCAATTTTTTACGCCCCTATCGAATAAGATATGTGAGATTTTAATATTAGAAGAGTTAAAAGAGATTATATGTTGAGGTGTCGGGTGTGTCACGGTCGTGTCCATATCTTACACTGACACATAAACCATTTGGAAACTTATGTGCCATATAGTTAGAAAGTAATGACTTCTAGAGCTTGAGTATAAACAAGCCCGTATGACAGCCTGATTGGTTGGAATATAAACCAAAAACAAAAAATGTTTTAGGGTAAAGCCCCATAGATACTTTAATTTGTTATGCACAGTATTATGGAGGAAAACTAAGAATACAGATTTATAGCTTAGATGAATTTAATATTTTCAAACTATACAAAACATCGAACTTACTTTTATGCAAAATTATAGCCTTTTGTATTTGAATTCTTTCCATTAAATTGTAGAAAAACATAGGGAAGCATGACAGTATAAACCTATTAAGTGGAGCCCTTAATTGTTATCTGATAATAGTATCAAAATTCAAGCCATCAATTTCATAGGTTTTGGGTTGTTTTTTGTCATAACATGAGGTTTTTGAATGTTAATATAAATACCATAACCTTTCAAAGAATATTAGCCTTCGATATAATAATTTTCTAAAATGGCATTTACATACATAGCACTCAATTCTTATGTATTACATATCTCACACCTAAACTTTTATATTTAAACACATAGCACTCAAATCATTATATCACATCAAAAATAGCACTATAATCAATTTGTAAAAGAGAAATTGACATTTTCATGTATGGTTTTAAAGCACCAAAGTGTTGTGTACGTAAATATGAAAGTTTGGGTGAGATATATGTTAAAACATAAGAATTGTGTGCTACTTATGTAAATTTCCATTTTTTTTAAATTTCCGCTTAGTAAAATCTGCCTCAAGCAGAAGTGAGTCCGAACACGAGACTAGCTTGATACTATAGATGTTTCTATTAGCAAACTTTAAATATGTAAAAAAGTTCGTAAGATACCTAGCAAATAATTTTTCTGCAAACAATCTTAAAGTTTTTTATTGCAACCTACTACCTACATGTCATCTTAAAGCTGGGATTTTGAGACTAGTTAATTTAGGGCCTGCTTGGCATAATTTTTATTTTATGTTATTGTTTTTTTAAAACATGTTTGATTAGTATAATTTTTTCCTTTCTTACCTTTTTTTTTTAAAGTTTAAAAACACTCAAAACACGTAAAAAATATGTTGAGTGTTTTAAAAACAGCCATGTAAATCAAACAAGTTTAAATTTAAATCAAAACAACAACAACAAAGCCTTAATCCCACTACGTGCTGCATGAACCCTTTTTCTCCATTGCGTCCTATTTACAGTCATATTTTCATTTAGTTCTAGTAAATTAAGATCATTTTAATACAATAAGCCCAAGTCTTCCTAGGCCTACCTCTGTCGTTGTTGACCTCATTTTTAGTGAGGTCTGGTCTTCCTCTTAGGGTTTAGGATCTAGCCTTAGGGATCTCCCTTTGACTATCTTAGAACCTTAGAAGTGGTGCCCGCCTC